GCCGGGGGCTTTCCCTAAACAAGCGGCGTCCCAAGTTTGGGAAACACTGCCTTAGAGGAATGTGATGCTGGCACATTAGTTAGGTCTACCTTCTAGCACTTGTGCGTACTATGGAAAGAGCTGTCATATTGCCTGAGCGCACGGGATGAGACAAGAAGCACCTAGTACCCTCTCTACCTTCCATTCTTGAACATCAGATGGTAGCACTGTGCCCAAAATGTCCAACCTCACCATGATAAAACTTAGATTATTCCAAAACCTTCTAAGAAAAGCAACTACAGTCTCATCCTACTCTTACTAAGGTAAATAGCAAAACCTCATCAACCTCAAAAGGAGCAAGATCAAGCCTACTATCCTTTGTCTACAGTCAGTTTTCCTGCTAATCCAGCAAAATTACATACTTTGATACCTTACATTATCATTATTTTAGGCCAGGCCATCATAACTGTGCATGTCTGAAATGGTGAAAAGGAAAGTGAGAAGTTCAGCAACAGAACCTGGAACTTGCCAACTGTCACGTGTTCTGAAATAAGTAATATTTATAGACATTTAAAACCACTTTTTGTGACTTGAATGATGGCTTCAGTCCAGCTCCTAGTGCACCGGCATCCAGATTACAAAACACTACCATCACACACCACCATCATAACTGCAACTGAGTAAAATGCTTATCAGTATCAAAAGAGGCCAGGGAATGAATGGGCATGGAGAATGAGTTGCCCTTCCATTTCCAGAGGTGGTCCAAGTAGGTCAAAATTAGGGAAGTTTGTTTTGCTACAGCCAATACGATTAACATATATAGATAAACAGAAACACTTCAGTCTATTGTAGACCCATCACTCCTGAGACCTTCGACAAACTCTAAGGACTAGTCTACACTAGAATCGCTACAGCAGCACAGCTGTAGCTGCGCCGCTGTAGACACTCTATGCTGATGGGAGAGAGCTCTGCCATCAGCATAATTACTCCACCTCCCAGATCTCTCCTGCTGACATAGAATCATAGAATATCAGGATTGGAAGGAACCTCAGGAGGTCATCTAGTCCAACCCCCTGCTCAAAGCAGGACCAACCCCCAGACAGTTTTTTACCCCAGTTCCCTAAATGGCCCCCTCAAGGATTGAACTCACAACCCTGGGTTTAGCAGTCCAATGCTCAAAACACTGAGCTATCCCTCCTCCCCATAGCACTATCCACAATGGTGCTTAGGGTGGTGTAACTTACATTGCTCAGAGGGGTGGTTTTTTCACACCTCTGTGTGACTTATATTATACCGAAGTGAGGGCTAGTGTGTACAAGTCCCAAAAGGAATATACATCCAACACCTTCCTCCAACACACACACACACACACCTTCAGAGAAATGCAAAAATGAATCTTTATTCATTGAAAGATCATAGAATCATTATTTTTAGTATATCTGCACTTTTTACAACTAAATTGCTTCATTTGAAAAGTATGGCATGAGGCACAATTATTTATTACTAGGGTACACCATTTCATTTTTTTAAATCCACTCTCATTTTAGAGTCAGCTAATCTCATTTCATAACTGCAGATGATGTTCAAGATAATGTTGTATTAAAATGAAGTAAACTCATCATAAGAGTACAAAGTACAGATCTAAAATAATGAATCAATCTAATCTGGATTAATAGACCAAAATGCTGGCTGTTTCAGAATGCACTGGAGCTTTACTCATTAAGGTCAATGGTTCTTCTACACAAAATAACATACATCAGTCCCTAAAATAGGATATAGTAAACAGACAATTTAAACACATCACATAATCAACTTATTTTATTTGAGAGATTTTATGTATCTAAAATTTTTAATGACATTTGACTTTACTTTGAAGTAAAAGGTCAAAAGGAAATGTTAATACTTATTATGTAAAAATATGGTATTCATGATTTAAATGAATTAATTTCTGTACATACAAAAAAGTATAAATATCCTTGCCATAGGAATGTTCTTTCAAAACAGCTTCAAATCGTAAGTAACAACTAAAAAGGCTTAAGACAATGGCTCTTTCAGAAATCTATTATTTCTAATTATATGCTAATATAATAATAAGTTTACATTTTTATAGCATCTTTCTACCAAGGATCTCAAAGTGCTTTGCAAATATTATAGCTCTTTTTGGAAGTCTGAAAAAGCTGATAGTCACTGGCCACACCTTCATTTTTGGAAACTAGATGTTAAGCTGAATTTCTACCTCCCCCCCCCCCCCTTTTTTTTTAAGTTTGTTTTGTAGATGATAGTTTTGGAAATGAAAATCACTACGAATTGCTACGGCTGAAATCTGACTGTAGCCAGATCCTTAGCTAGTGAAAATCAGAATCAGTAGTGTTATGCTGATTTACACCTGCAGACTATGGCCCTCTGATTTTTCCTAAAATTCAGGATATTCATGGCCTTTCCTACAGTTACCCAGGAATATCCCTTTGAAAAACCCATAGCCAGAAGTCCCTAACTTTTGGGAGATGGGGGTGTGGGGAGGGAAATGGACCCCTAACTAATTAGCAGCTGTGAATGTGCTACTGCTGAAGTGGCCACTGATGAAGCTACTGCAGTCACAAGTAGGGCTGGGCAGGAAATGGTTTGTGCATCCTGAAATTTTTTTTTTTTTTTTTTGAAATTTTGAAAATGTTTCCCATCCCAAATCTGGACCATGAAAATGTTAATGAACCAACCAACCAAACAAAAAATTCAGTTTGGGTCAATTGAAAGAAGTTACTCACACTGTGCAATAACAATGGTTCTTCAAGATGTGTGTCCCACAAGTGCTCCACTCTAGGTGAGCTAGAGCTCTCCTGTGACTTTGAATGGAGATTTCTTATAGCAGTGTCTGTTTCACCCGTGCATGCGTGTTAGTCAGTCTCCTGCCCCACACCGTTGTTATATAGCACAGCATGGGCGAACCATGGAAGAGTTCTTTCTCTACTACGAAGCTCTATGGCAAAGAACTCCAAAGCAGAGGGGAAGGAGCTCAGACAGTGAAGCACCCATAGGGACACACATCTCGAAGAACCACATTTTCTGCACAGGGTGAGTAACTGTTTCTTCTTCGTCAAGTAGTGTCCCTACGGGTGCCCTACTCTAGGTGACTACCAAGCAGTACCCTCTAAGGCAGAGGAGGCTTCGGAGTCAAGTCCTGTATGGCGGAAAGTACAGCTGAGCCAAACACAGTAGTAGAGGCGGAGTCATGTATTATCACATAGTGTTCGGTGAATGAATGTACAGATGCCCAAGTAGCGGCTTTATAAGATTTCGATAATCAGAATGTTCTTGAGGAAGGTAGTAAAAGACGCAATGGATCTTGTAGAATCAGTGCGTATATCCGAAAGTGGCTGAATATTGCAAGACTGGTGACAAGAGTTAATGCAGCCTGATAACCACTTAGAAAGCCTATGTCTAGAGACAGCTGATCCTTTTGATCTATCTAATAGCGAGACAAAAACTTGTGGATCTTTCTGAAGGGCTTTGTTCTGTCTACTAGATAGAAGGCCAGGGCTCTCCTGACATCCCGGGCGTGCAGCAGTGCCTCCTGGCAATATGGATGTGGTTTGGGGTGGAAGATAGGCAGGTGAATGGGCTGACTGAGATGGAACTCGGAAGAAACCTTAGGTAAGAATTTGGGGTGTGGCCACAGAATGACTTTGTCTTTAAAGAACACCCGTGAAGGGGGAGTATGCCATCAGGCCCCTATTTCTCCAACCCGTCGTGCCGACAAGATGGCTATCAGGAATGCCATCTTCATTGACAAATATAGCAGTGAGCAGATCGCCCTTCAAACCTCTGGCTATCTTGTGAGGCATTTAAGGACCAGGTTCAGGTCCCATACTGAAGTAGGTTGGACTGGTGGATAGAGGTTTCCCAGCCCCCTGAGAAATCTCATTGTGGTCAGGTGGGCAAAGATGGAATAACCCGGAAAGCCATGACGGCTGCCAGGTGGACCCTTATGGAGCTCATCGATAGACCAGAGATTTTCAGAGTTAGGGTGTATTCCAGTATATCCAAAAGTGATGTGGTCATTGGTGGAATCTGTCTGCAGCCATGCCAGCTGGCAAACTGTATCCATTTTTGAAACTATGTGTACCAAATAAACTGTTTCTTGTTGTGTAATAGTTCTCTTTTTACATC